CACCAATCCGAAAATGAGGCCCACGCTGCAGCGGGAGCACGATTCGGAACGAGCGGAAGCCCGAAAATGAGGCTGGCGCCTCAGCGAGAGCAGCATGAAACAAAAAACCCAAGCGAAAACCCAACTCCGGGAAATCTTGTGCGTAAAAAGCAATACGCGGAGGGGTGCCCGCTATCTTCCGCACGCCATCAGGGGATGGAGGAGAGTGTATTCATACTGAAAAATTGTTGAATAGTTGTGGAGGAGGAGGAGGGCGCCGTCGGGGGACGGCGAAGAATGTTGCAGCGGGTCGCAACGGGGCACGCGAACGCAAATTATTCTTGGGGAGTGCAACCGGTCCCAAGTTCGCAACAGATTTCCAGGATTTGTGATTGGGAGACCGGGGTTCGGGTAATTTTTTAGAAAACGCCGTGTGGGCCTTGTTAGAGCCCTGGTGGGCCAGCCGGCTTGGGGCTGTCTCGAGACGTCTTGGGGCCATCTTGGGCCGTGTTGGGAAGCTTGGGCCCTCTAGGGACCTTACGGGGGCCACGTAGGCCCTCCTGTTGGCCTCCCATGGCATTTTGGGGGCCTCCCATGGCCTTCTTGGGCTTCTCTTGGGGGCCTTGTGAAGGCCTGTTGGGCCTCTTTTTGGCTCATGTGGGGTTTCCTTGTGCAGTCTTGGGGCCGTCCAGGCCGCCTAGAGGCTCTCTTGGAGGTCTCTTGGACCGTCTTGGGGCGATACTGGAAGCCTTTGTGGCTGTTTTGGACGCTGCTAAGACCCGAACAGCGAATGTGCTGAAAGTGCACGTTTTCCGAAGGGGAATGAAGCGACGTTTGCATTCTCGGAGCCCTGTTGAGTGCCTCCTGGGCCGTCTTGGGGACCTCAGGAGGCCCTCTGGGTCCTTCTTGGAGCACTCTTGTGCTGTCTTGGGTCTTTCGTCGGCCTCTCTGATCACCGCTCTGCCCGCTTCGGGGCCTTGTGAGGGCCTGTTGGGCCTTTTTGTTGGCTCATGTGGGGCTTCCTTGGGCAGTCCTGGGGCCATCCAGGCCGTCTAGAAGCTCTCTTGGGGGTCTCTTGGACCGTCTTGGGGCGATACCAGAGGCCTTCTTGGTTGTTTTGGGCGCTGCTAAGACCCGAACAGCGACTGTGCTGAAAATGCATGTTTCCTAAGGGAATGAAGCGATTTTTGCGTTCTGGGAGCCCTGTTGAGGGCCTCCTGGGCCGTCTTGGGGACCTCTGGAGGCCCTCTGGGTCCTTCTTGGGGCGCTCTTGTGCTGTCTTGGGTGTCTCTTCGGCCTGTCTGCTCACCGCTCTGATCGCTTGGGGCCTGCTGGCAGGACCCGGCTAAGCGCCCTGGGAGGTCCGGGACGCGCCGGGGGACCTTTGGCAAGGATGTCCGGGGCCCCCAAAAAGCCGCGATCCTGGGGGTCCAGTTTGGGGGTGGGGGGGGGCGGGATTCCCCCCCCCCCCCCGCCCCGGCTTGTAAACATATAAGAAGAGGAATCCACACATATATATAATTATAGGTATACACTTACATACATACATACATATACACACGTACATGCATACATATGTGTACATGTTTGTATACATGTGTATATATGTATATGTATGTGCGTGTGTATATATATATATATATATACAACTTCACATGCTCGCAATACAATTTTACAGGTCGCCCCCCTGACAAGTCCCCCCGACAACAATTTTCGGCCTCCCATGGCCCCCTGTACGCTCCTGCAAAACGTCTCCTTGGCCTTCTGGGCCTCCTCGACGTCAATGTCGGCCCTCGAAAACGGGTCCAGAGCGGCCAGCGGGGCGGCCAGACGGCCTCGCGAGAGCCCAATGCGGCCCCATACCTCCCAAAACGCCGGAATATGATCCAAAGAAAATGCCCAAGAGGCCATCAAAACGCACGACACAATCCCAAAATATACTTCACATTTTTTTTTGTTGATTTTCTGAAGTGTTTGGTTCCTGGGTCTTCCGGGCTTCCGACACCTCCTCAGAGGTCTCGAACATTGCATCAACACGAGCCAAACGGCCATCCAAAAAGTCAAAGAGAGCCCCAAGACTGCCAAACAGGCTCCAAGACGGCCCAAATAGAGCCCCATGACGGCCCAATGTGGCCCCAAGACCTTCCCAAAAGCACTCCAAACTGTGGCCCGGTCGTTGATGGAGACCGTGGTTGGTAGCAAGGGGCTCCCCAGAAATCTCCCACACGCGCCCGATATACCTCCTGAAACCCATCTCCAATGAGGAGCTTCCGCAAGCAGCCCTGAGAAGGAAGCCGGGGAGGTTTCGCAAAGAAGGGCTAGATCGAGTAAGATATGAAGAAGGATGATGACGAGGGGAAGCAACACCATAAGGAGAACGACGATGACGAAAACGGGGACACGGAGATCTTCGTCTCCCTTCGAATGTTACCTTCTCTAATATGTATTTATATATCTCTATATATATAGATATATAGATATACATGTGACTATCTGATATGTATATATATAGACATGCGCACACACATACATGCATGCATGCATGCATGCAAACATACACACGTACATACATATACACAGATATGTATATCTTCCCGCCTGCATGCGAAACTTGAAGGGCCAATCTGCACGACGCGAAGCGTCATTGCTGCCCTGTCAACGTATCCACACATGCGTGCACATGTGTGTACATGTATGTGCGTATAGATATCATATCTTTGCTCCCGCACCACGGTCACCCCTGGCAAATCCCCTGGGTCCAGTCTGATACATATATATATATATCAAACATTTGCAGCCCAATTCCCGTCGCCAACACAGCACCCACTACCCCTGAGCTTCCATCTTCAACACAGCAGCCAGTACTCCACGGCCTCCATCTCCAACGCAACATCAACTACTCCACAACCTCCGTCGTCAAAACATCACCCGCTGGTCTACGGCCTCCGCCGCAAGTCAGCTTCCTTAGGATTGCATCAAACACCCGAACCCACCCGCCGACCGCCGCCCCCGTCGGCCGACCGCTACTGCTGCCCGCCCCACCCGTCTCCCCAACGCGGCACCCACTACTCTACAGCCTCCATCGCCAACACGGCCCCCTCTACTCCAAAACTTCCATCGCCAACGCAGCACCCACGACCCCACAGCTTCCATCTCCAACACAACACCCACTACTTCACAACCTCCAGATCCAACGCATCAGCAACTACTCATCAGCCTCCGTCCCCAGCACACCACCCAATGCTACACAGCCTCAGCTGCAAAACAACTTTCTTAGGAATGACATTCAACACCCGGGCCCGCCCACCGACCGCAGCACCCGTCCGCCGACCGCCGCCGCCCGCCTCTCCAGTATAGTAACTACTACTCTACTGCCTCCATCTCCAACATGGCACCCGCTACTCCACAGTCTTCGTCTCCGAGCCTTTTCGTGCGTTTCCCAAACCGATTCGTTTTTGAGTTGTGCGAGTTTAGGGCTCGCTTCTGAAGCATACGTTCGCGACTTGCTCGGCTTAATATTTGCGTCCAGCACAACACCCACTAATTCACAGCCTCCTCCTCCAACATAGCACCCACTACTCCACAGCCTCAATCACAAACGCATCACCGATTATTCCACAGCCCTCATCTCCAACACACCGGCCAGAATGCCCATCAGCCTAATCCAAGCGTGTAACTTGGCAAGGCCCTGCCGCTCAGCTCCCTCCGTCCCATCACCACACCCAGTACCCAACAGCGTCCGTCGACAACGCCACACGCAATATTCATCAGCCTCCTCCTCAAGTGTGACGTGGACAGGCCCTTCTACTGAGTGCCCTGTCTCGAACATCTTACCCAATATTCCGCAGTGTCCGTCGACAACACCACGCGGCCCCCCTCAAGTGAAACGTGAAAAGGTCATTCTACTCAACCCCCTCTCTCTCCATCACCACACCCAATACTCCACAGCGTCCATCGACAATCCCACACGCAGTACTCGTCAGCCTCCTCCTCGAATGTAACCTGAAAAAGGTCCGTCTGCTCAGATCACTGTGTCTCCAACACCACACCCAATACTCCACAGAGTCCGTCGACAACACCACACGCAGGACTCAACATCCTCCTCCACAAGAGAAGCTCGAGAAGCTCCTTCTACTCGACCCCCTGTCCCCAACACCACACCCACTGCTTCACAACGCCCGTCGACAAAATCACACGCGATACTCAAAAACCGCCTCCGCAAATGTATCTTGAAAAAACCTTTCTACTCAACTCCCTCTCTTCAACACCACGTCCAATACTCCACAGCCTGCGTTTCCAACACCACACACAATAGTCAACAACGTCTTCCCACGTGCACCGTGAATCATTGTACTCAGTCCCTCCGCCTCCAACACCGCATCCATTACTCCACAAACTCCGTCTCCACCACCCCCAACAATGTCATCAACAGGGCGACCGCGCACACAGCGAACCCCCCTTTCCTCTTCCGATCTTCCAAGAGGACATGAGGCTGTTCTGATGCGTGCGGGGACCTAGCTCTGTATGCATGTATGTCTGTCTGTCTGTCAGTCTGTCTGCCTGACTGCCTGCCTGCTTGCCTGTCTGCCTGTCTGCCTGTCTGCCTGTCTGCCTGTCTGCCTGTATGTATGTATGTATGTATGTATGTATGTATGTGTGTACGTACGCACGTACGCATGTCTGTCTGTCTGTATGTCTATCTGTCTGTCTGTCTGTCTGTCTGCCTGTCTGTCTGTCTGTCTGTCTGCATGTATGTATGTATGTATGTATGTATGTATGCATGCATGTATGTATGTATGTATGTATGTATGTATGTACACATGTGCATAAATAAATGCGGCGTCCGCTTTCGCACATTCGGCGAACGACTTCAATGGCCATGAGGCCAACTGCACAGGAATAATCATGTTTGACGAGGAGGTGAGCGACAAGGGTGAGGACGACAAAGGCGACGAGGAGGAGGAGGAGGATGATGAAGTCCTCCCCAGCCCTTGCCCGCTGGCCCTGTTGCTGCTCCTGGCCCCAAGGGACCCCCGACACGCGCATGCTGATGGCAACCGCGCAGAGAGCCGCGGCCACGACGCCAGCCCACACCCAGCTCGGCGCGTCCGTCGCGCACACCTGCGGGCTGAAAGCCGGAACGCTGGCGGAATCGAACGCCGCGGCATTGAGAGGGGGAATCTGATATGGATGGGGAGTTGGAGAAGGAGGCGGTGGAGGAAGAGGATGAGGGGAAGGAGGGGGAGAATAAACGGGAAATGTAGGAGGCTGCAGAGCCGGAGGCGAGGGGGGACGAATAGCAGCAAGCATGGGCGATTGCATTGGATGGACTGCGCCAAGATATACATCGAACCTCCCAAAACACTTTGTAATATATTGAGTTGCTGCCGAGGCGATTCTTGGATGCGTCGTGACTTTGCAGGGGATTCGCCTTCTTGGGTGTTGTGACTTCCAAGCGTGGTTGTTCCTGCGTCTCTACTTCGGAAACCGATCAATTCAGCCCAAATCCTCCGACCCTGTTGGCGTGTGGAATGCGTTGTTCGTCGTGGTTGTTGTCCTCGTACGTGCTCGTCGTCTTCTTTTCTGGATCCGTCGCCGCTCCTCCCCTCTTCCCCTGGGCCCTCGTCCTCAAGCGCGTCAGCCAAAGCGAAATGAAGCAACCCAACCAACACGAAATTAACAACGTTGTCATTGAGTCGAAAAGAAACCCCTTCCCTTTGATCCCTTCCCCGCTGGGGCATTAAAAAAAACAAACTCTAACGTGAATCCGGAATCCGGAATTTGGAATCCGGAATCCGGAAACCAAAATCTGGAATCCGGAATCCGGGAATCCTTGTATCGGGGAATCCGGAATCTGGGAATCCGGAATCCGGAGTTCGGAATTTGGAATCCGGAATCCGGGAATCCGGGAATCCTGGTATCTAGGAATCCGGCATCTGGGAATCCGGAATCCGGAATCCAGAATCCAGAATCCGGAATCGGGAATCCGGACTTGGAATCCGGAATCCGGACTAGCATCTGCAACTGAATCTGGAATTTGGAATCCAGAATCCAGGGATTAGGAGCTGGGGGAACCGATTCTTGCCAATTCGGATCTCGAAATCAGAAAACTGGGGTCCGCAATTCGGAATCTTTAATCTGGGACGTGGAATCTGGCGACCCACAACGCGGGAGGCAGAAATTGGGAATTCGGATTTGGAATTTGGATTCCAAGAGTTTGGGTGTCAAGGTAGGTTGTTAGGGTGTTCGGGTGAATAGGGTGTTCGGGTTAAGAGTGTTGTGGTAGGGTTAGAGAGGTAAGGTTAGTGTTACGCGGTTAGGGTTAGGGTGTTAGGAAATGAATGCTCAGGTTCGTGTCTTACGGTTCGAGTGTGCGGGTTAGGCTTGGGGCGTTAGGGTCCGTGTATTAGGGTATGGCTCGGGTTCGGTGGTTACGGTTAGGTTGTTAGGGTTGAGGTTAGGGTGTTCCGTTTGGGGTTCGGGTGTTCGGGTTGGTGTCTTACGTAGGGTTAGGGTTAGGGCTAGGGTGTAAGGGTTAGGGTGTAAAGGGTTAGGGTGTTAGGGCAAAGGTATACCGGGTTAGGGTGTTGGTGTAATGTGTTAGGGTTAGGGTGTTAGAGTCAGGTTGTTTTTGTTTTGGGTGTTGGTGTTCGGTTTTACGGCTAGGGCTAGGGTTAGTGTTAGTGCGTTAGGGTTAGGGTTGGGGGGTTCGGGTTAGGTCAGGATTAGGGTGTTCGGGTTTGGTTAGGGTGTTAGGGTCAGTGACTTGGGGTTCCGCCGAGGGTTAGGGGTTCAGGCTTAGTGTGCTTGTCAGGGTTAGGGTGTCAGGGTTAGGGTGTTGGGGCTTGCGGGTGAGAGTTTGGAATTGTGTGTTAAATTTGTTAGGGTAAGGGTGTGAGGGTTAGGATGATATGGTTACGGTGTTAAGGTTTGGGTGTTAGTGTCAGGGTTAGGGTGTCAGGGTTACGGCGTTCGGGATAGGGTTAGGGTTTGAGGGTTTGGGTTGGGGGGTTAGTGTGAGAGTGTCAGGGCTAGGGGTTCGGGGCAAGGCTTAGGAGGTCAGGTTCTTCGGGTAAGGTGTTAGCGTTAGGGTGTTAGGGTTAGGGTGTCGGGGCTAGCGTGTACGGACTAGGGTGGTGGGGCCCGTGTGTTAGTGTTCGGCTGTTAGTGTCGGGGTGAGGGTTCTAGGGTCAAGGTTGTAAGGGTTCATGTGGTTGTTTCGCCTTTGGGTTAGAGTGTTAGGGCCAGGGTGCTTTAGTTAGCATGCTAGGGTTAGTGTTGAGCGTTAGGGTTCGGTTGATCGGGTCAGGGTGCAAGGGTAGGGGTTTTAGGGTTGCGGGGGTTAGGGTTAGGGGTCAGGGTTTGGGTGTGAGGGTGTTGTGGTTCAGGGCGAGGGTTACAGTGGCAGGGTCAGGGTGTCTGGGTTAAGGTGTTAGGGTCAGGGTGTGAGCGTCTGGGCGTTCGGGTTAGGGTGTTGGGGTCAGGGTGTTAGGGTTCGGGTGTCAGGATTAAAGACTTCTGCTTTATCTTGTTACGGTTAGGGTGTTAGGATTCGCCTGTTTGTGTTATAAGGTGTTCGGGTTTGGCTGTTGGGGTTGGGGAGGCGAGGGTTCGGTTTATGGTCTTAGGTGTTTGGGTGGGGTGCTCAATGTCCCGTCCGATGCGATTCCAAGAGCCCGGACTCCAGAATGCGGATGCGGGATGGGGAATCTGGAATCTGGAATCCAGAATCCAGAACTTGCAATTTGGAACCCGCAATCCTGAATCTGGAATCCAGACTCGGGGGCGTCGGGGAGAAATGCCAAACGCTTCGCCGACGAAGCGTGCGGTATTTCACGGGGGTTTTCGGCGTGGTTTTGGGGGCCTTATAAGGATATCTTGGGGGCGCTTGAGTTTGGGATCTCTTCGCGGCGCCTGGGGGGCTTCTGGGGGGCCTTTGGGGTAATGTCGGAGCGGGAGCTTGACATTTGGGATTGTAATGAGAACGCCGGCGGCGCATCACCGGCCGCTCCCTGGGAGTTTCACGCAGCTGGTCGGTAGCCTCTTGGAGGCAGTTTTGGAGCCTCTTTGGGGCCTTTTGGGTGCCGTTTGGGGGATTCTTGGGGTGTCTGATGGGCCTCTTGGGGGCTTCTTGGAGGGCTGCTGGCGGTCGCGGAGGTCTTTTGGGGGCGAAATCTGGAAGTGTAATCTCGAGTGCTGCCTCTTGGGTCTTTCTCGGGGCCGTCTTGGGCGCCTCTTGGGCTGTCTTGGGGCCCTCTTGGGCCGTCTTGGGGTCCTCTTCGGGGCCTCTGTGGCCATCTTGGGGCGATCTTGGGAGCCTCTTGGGCCGTCGTGGACTCGCTGAAGTCTGAAAAATCGCACATGCTAAACATGCATGCACGTTTTCCTAAAGGAACGTGGCGACTTTTGCTTCTTGAGGCCTTCGTGGAACGCCTCTTGAAGCCCTCTTGGGGCGTCTTCGGGGCTTCGTGGACCATCTCGATGCCATATTGGGCGTCTCGGAGCGGCCCGTCGGCGACTGGAAGCCGTGTTGGACGGCTTTGGGGGCCGTCTTGGGGATCTTTGGGGTCGTCTGTGGGCTCTTGAGACCCGGAACTTGCCGGAACTTGCCGCAAGTTGCAGGAAGAGTGGAGCCCCCTGGGACCCTGGGAGGGACTTCAGGGAGGTTTTTGATCAAGCCCAGGCGAATCCTGCCAGACATTTTAAAAGACTGGTCTCGCACGGCCCAACCCGCAGGGCGGGAGCGGCCGGATTCCCGCTACTGGGCCGATGGCACTCTCGTGGGGCTCCTGGGGCCGTCCTACGAGGCTTTGGGGCTCTCTTGCGGTGTCTTGGGGCTTCCGCGGGTCTCGTGGGCTCTCTTCGGATGATCTTGGGAAGGGCCTGGGGTGTTGGGCGCAGGGTCCGAGTGCGCTGGGGACGCATCCAATCAGAGTTAACAAATCCTCTGCGTGAATCCAAAAATCAGATTTGCCAAGGAATACTTTTTGCAAGCGGCGCTTGTTGTCAGCGTGAGGCGGCGCTCGTTTTCAGCGTGATCGTGCCCGCGTGGGATAGTAGTATGAGGAGGAGGGGGAGGAGGAGGAGGAGGAGGCGGAGGAGGAGGAGGAGGAGGAGGAGGAGGAGGGGAGGAGGAGGAGGAGGAGGGGTACTTGAACGAGTGAGCTAGGCGCCGCTACCAGGTGGATCCGTTTCTCCTGCTTCACTCTCCCTCTCGTCTGCGCTCCTCCCTTTTCTTTTTCCGCTTCCCCCTCCATTATTTCCCCGCTTGGGTAATGCTCAGCCAAAATGGCTACGGTGCGCCATGTTTCTCCTCTCACTTCCATCTCCTCTCTTCTCACTTCGCTCATTCCCTACTTTCCCTCTCTATTCCTCAGTTCCTTGCTTGCTCTCTTCCTTCTTTCCTTGATTGGTCAACTTTGTGCTAAAACGGGTACGGCGCGCTCAGCATTATCCTGCTCTCTCTCTCTCTTCCTCATGCTTCTCGCAGTCCCCCTCGCACTCTTTCCCGCGCTCTCAGGCTGTCTTAGGGCTCTCTTGGGCTGCACCGTGTTTTTCCTGGATGCTTAATGGGCTGTCTTGGGGGAATCTTGGGCAGGCTCTGGAGTGACCAGCGCAGGGACCGAGGGCGCCAGGACGTGTCCGAAACCGAGTGAAATGCCAAACGCTTCGTTTCCGAACTGTTTAGCATTTCACGAGGGTTTCCAAGTGGTCTGTGGCCATGGCGAGAATTTGGTGGGCGGTGTCTGAAGGCGCTGGGGCGACGCTCGGTTGATATGCCAGGGGGGCGCTGGGAAGCTCTTGGGGCGATGTTTGGGAGTCTTGGACTCTGGGAGTCCGGGGGTCCGGACTCTGGGATCCAGGGATCCGGGAATCCGGGAATCCGGAATCCGGAATCCGGAATCCGGGAACTGGCTTCCGGGAATCCGGAATCTGGGAAACAGGACGGATCTGGATGCCGGGAATCCGGGAATCAGGACTTTGGAATCCGGAATCCGGGAATCCGGAGATCCAGAATCTGGAATCCGGAATCTGGGAAACCGGGAATCCGGCATCCGGAATCCGGAATCCGGAATCCGGGAAACCGGATTCTGGAATCCAGAATCCGGGAATCCGGAATCCGGAATCCGGGAATCCGGGAATCCGGAATCCGGAATCCGGAATCCGGGAATCCGGGAATCACGTTAGAGCCTGTTTTTTTTGTTACTCCGCTGGGGGGGGGGAGGGTCCCAAGGGGGGTCCCGGGGGGGCGGGTCCTGGGTCAAAATACCATCCACCGCTTGCGGTTTTTACAGAGGGGCCCTCTGTAGATGCGCTGGAGGAGGGGGGGTCCCGGGTCGCCACGACGGATCTGCAAGAGCGCCCATAGACGGCCCAAGCCCCACAAGACAGCCTAAGAACGGCCAAAGGGGGCCCTCAGACGGGTCAAAGGAGCCCCACAAGGACTCTCAAGAAGGCCTAGCGAAGCCATATTGATGGATTTTCGGAGAGGTTTTGCCCCCGCCCTCTCCCTCCCATTTCCGTCGAGAGCCGAGGCCTCCAGAATTGGTTGCTCCTACTCGCTTCCCCTCGCTGCTCCCCCACTCCCCCACTCCTCCTCCTCCTCCTCCTCCTCCTCCTCCTCCTCCTCCTCCTCCTTCTCCTCCCCCTCTCCTCCTCCCCCGCATTCTTCTCGCTGCTCCCCTCCTCCTCCTCCTCCTGCTGCTCCTCCTCCTCATCCTTCTCCCCCCTCCTCCTCCCTCATCCGGCTCCTCCACCCTTCCCCTTCCCCCCCCACTCCCCCCCCACTCCTCCTCCTCCTCCTCCACCTCCTCCTCCTCCTCCTCCTCCTCCTCCTCCTCCTCCTCCGCCTCCTACTCCCTCCCGCTGGTTTTCATCTTCGTCGTCTTCAGGGTCGGCGGCACCGGCCGTAAGGCCTTCGCAATCTTAACAGACATGAAGAATCCCCTCGACCCCAAACCGAATGCCACATGGTCTCATGCCTCATTCCGATTCGCCGACCGAGCAGACAGCGCAACTGGGCTACCAAGCGTCGACCACTGGACGCAACTTCCTTCCGACGGCACCCAGCGCAACTGGGCGACCAAGCGTCGACCAGGTCGTCCGCTGCGGCATTGGGCGATATCTGCGATTCAGATGGTTCTGTACTTCTACCCAAATGATCATTTCCTATGCGGACGGCGTGCAGGCTCCGCTTACGCTCCCGCTTTTTGGTTTGCCCACGCGTCCCTCCAGATGCATGGCCATGCTTGCTCGCTCGCATCCCATCAGCTGGGTATCCAGACACATGAAACTACACGGCAGGCCTCTTGCGTGTCACTCTTCACTCCCACATGCCCTTTCGCGCCGAGCGCGTGCCACATGTTGAGCGCAAGATCTTTATGTGAGCGTCTTACACAGTGTTGCCACACGCGATCGCTTCATACAGTTACCATATGGTTAGCAGACCAAATTCACACTACGTGTCCCATCCCAGCCACCCTGGATGCGAGTATCGCAACAACATTCGATACAGAGACGAGGTTTCGGCAGACAGGCTTAGCTGCGCGCCAGAGTATCTCACATCACGAAACACGTTCTACAACGTGCTAGCACTTTCTCCGATGCCAGTCGTCCTCTTCCCTCTCGTCGTCGACGTGGTCCTCCTCCTCCTCCTCCCTCATTCCCCCACGTATGTGCACGAGACTGGATTCTGCTACATACGTACGTACACACCTACCACAACAACCCAACACGGCTAGAATCAAAAGTGGGACTACACGCAAACCATTGAACGAACACGTTCGGAATTGGGGCGCCTGCGTGTGCATGTGCCCGACTGGTGAGAGGAACAAACATAGAGATAACCAGATAGAGTGGTGCTGAACACGACGGCTAACAATAAAGGCGTGCGCGAACAGTGAGGCCGGGGATAGAAAGCCAACTCGCGCGCGCGGGGGAGGAGGGAACAACCTCCGCAGCGGGAGCAGAAACGCGCAGCGAACGCCTCTTCTGGCTGCCGGAGAGGAGACGGAGAAGGGGAATGCGAATGAGAAGGAGCAAGAAGCGCCTGTACGGCCACAACCTCATCGCTGGCCTCCTCGCACATGACGCCGAAAGTGTAGTCAGGCTCTGAGTCCTGAGCTTTGATTGCGGGTGAGGGCTCTCGTGCCCATCACTTACAAGAATTTGTGGGGGATACAGGGCAGGAGGTAGGGGTAGCGAGGGTCGATGTAAGATGAGGGCAGGGGGGAGAGGAGAGGTGAGGGAAACAGCGGAAGAGCGGAGGGGAAGAGGCAGGCCGTGGGGAACAAAAGGGGAGAGGGCGGCATGGGATGGGGGGGGGGAAGAGCGGAGAGAGAGGGAACAAGGGATGCAATGCAAGAGGAGGGAAGGGGGAGAACGGAGAGAGAAGAGAAGAAGGCAAGGAACGAAGGTGGGGCCGACATCAATCAGCCGACTGGGCATTGCGCCTGGCGGACACGTACTGACAGCTCCGCGTCGTCGCCGACAAAGCGACGGCAGCTGTGGTCGACCAGATCGCCTGCTCGAGGCCGCTCCCGACACCTTCTCCTGATTCCCCTTTTCCTCCTGTTGCTGCTCCTCCTCATCCCGCCTCCCCCTCGCCCGCCCCCTCTGGCGTCTGCTACGCCTGGTCCTGCTACTCCTGCATCCCCCGTCTCCTCTTCCACCGTAGCCTCTGGTTGTACTAAACTATCGCCTTGTCGGGCTCCCGTCAGATCGATCGTCAAGAAAGCTTCGTTTGTCCTGAGGTCGAGGCCACCTTGAGGCGCTGGAAGAGTGCTGCTGGTGCTGCTACTCTGGATCGCAGCTTGCAGCTCTGCCAGCGAGCACGGCGACGCACAATTCAAGATCCTCGCGCCCTCGGGGCACGCTCTGGCCACCCGCGGGCTGTATCTTCCAGAGGAGTCGGGGAGGGGAATGGAGGAGGGGAGGAGGGGAGGGGGGGGAGGGGAGGAGACACGGAGGAGGACAAGGCGGAAGTGGGTCGCCCGCCCGCGCCGGGTCCCTGCAGGACCGCGCGCCCTCCAGCCGGCTCTGGGCGGAAGCGACCAGCTGGCTCGCAAAGCGAGGCAGGGGAAGGAGGAGGAGGAGGAGGAGGACAGCAACGAGCAGACGTGGACCCACCTCCTCCTTCCCCTCGTTGTCGTCTCTTCGTCCGTCTCCTCCTCTGGCCCTCCTTTCCTCCCTCCTCAGTCTTGTCATTTCCCAAATCCTCCTGCCTCCCTCTTAACGCTGTCCTGGGCCACCCCGAAGAGATCTTGCGCCAGACATGGTTCGTGGCCTTGATTTCCCTTGGCGCTGAGCTGCTCGGGCGTCCACTTCGAAGTGTCTGAGGGTGCAGATTTGATATCGCGGCATGAGGCTGCTGCGCAGGGAACATTGGGAACCAACGTCCCTGAAAGCAGACAGTCGAGCGATTGCGACCGCGCACAAGTAGGCTTTTCACAAGAACAGCCTGGGGAGCTCGGGCATTGGGAGCTCCTTATGGGGCCACGAATCGTGTGAGGGGTGAACCGAAATTGGTGATGGTGATGGTGATCATGGCGGTCGTGATGATGATGACGATGGTGAAGACGATGATGATGGTGATGCTGATGATGATGATAATGATGACGATGGGAGGAGGGAGGAGGAGGGGGAGGAAGAAGGAGGAGGAACACGTGCGGCACCGCCTCTTCAAAACGAGGACCCAACATCACAGGATGGTTGGGAAAAACACAGAGACTGCCTTATCATTCCTGACCCCTGTCGGGGATCCCGCCTGTCCCTTATCCCAAACCCCTGGCGGGGGGCCCGCCCGAACGCCCCCTGGCGGTTCGCGCGCGGCGCAGGGGCCCCGCGGGAATCCACCGAAAGGTTTGTGATGCATTTTGTCAGCAGGTTGAGGGCGTTTTAAGATAGAAGTGGGCCTCGTACTCCAGCTTGATACTTATGTATGCCTCTACTTTTACGAGCGGGGGAGGAGGAAGACAGAGGGGAGGATGCTAACGAGTAGGAGGTGGGAGTGCGGAGGCAGCGGAGGGGGAAGAGGAGGAAGAGGATGGTGTATGGCCGATCAGTTATCTCCCGCCAGGCTTTTCCACTGTCTGTGTTTCACGAGCATGTCCCCGAGAGGGGCAGACGTAAACGAGAGAAACGCCACAGGTATGAAACAGCTGTTCAATCGAAACCACCGATCCCGTAAACTGGCCCAAGACACTTGCGAACACCGTCCTTGACTCATCGACAATGAAACCGATGTTTCGGAACACCCATTGATACAATATCATACCGAAAACACGCCGCCAAAGCACGACAGAACTCATAAGGATAAGCATCGGCCATCTTGGAAACAATCCTGGAGCCTTTCATCTCGAGTGTCTCGTGATGAAGGCACGAGAAGCTGCATGCACCTCCCCCTGATCATCGAAACCCCAGCGGCTGCAAGTTGATATGGCAGCCCAAAAGCCTCGTAGACGTTCTCTATCGAGTGCCGAAAGCGCACATATCAAAAACAACGACAATCACGCCAGGAAGCCCCCGGGTCCGCATCACTCGAGGCTGCCTCCAAATATGCGAGTTTGCTGGATTCTCGACGACCGCGGGGCATCCGCGAAGGCGGCATTCACGAAATATAGATAGGGTAGCAGCACACAACTTATTTCCAATATCTACCTGTCGCTGGCAAGATTCGTCTAGTGTAGGGAGGCCTTCGGGGTGATCAGAAGTCTGGAGGGCAGGGGGGCCGTTCGGGCGATTGCGCGCCACGGAGAACGAGTTACACGGGGCCCCCATGAAGACGGCGATCACAAACCCAGACCGAGACCACCCCTGGATAAGCCTGACCAAGGACAAAGCAGAGATATCATTATCAGGCCCATGGCGAATGTCGATTTCGAAAACTAGATGCCTCCCACACAGGGGCCGTCTCCACGTCTCGGAGAAGTGTCCCGATCCGGAGAAGATCTCGAGGATGGCTGGGCTACCAAGAGATTTCGCAGCTCGCGGGAGGCATTCTCGAGGATGTCGCCGACGTTCGGGGCCGCCGTCTCCGCGGCGGTCATCGTGCTGAGGTCGAGCACGCTCAGCTGCTGATTGGTCCGACCGCCGTCCTCGTAGCGGGCCAGGCTCCTGTCGCGGGCCAGGCGGCTTCTCTTCCTGGCGCTGAGGAGCGACCTGGCCGTGCGGGGCAGGTCGCGCGACGCTCCTCCGTGGCGGAGGCGGCGCGGGCTGAACTCCCCGAGCATCGACAGGCCAGCGGCGGCGGCCGCCGTCTTCAGGGCGCGACTGCGCTGGGCCTGCCTGAACGGGGACACGAGGGGCGCGGCTGTGGTCCTGGGCCTCGAAGTTCGCGAGCACCATCGGGATCCACGGGGAGAACGGGCAGTCCGCCAACAGGCTCAAGTTCACCTTTCCTGTCTTGGAGGTGTCGGCTCTCTCCCGCGGGCGCAGCAGGGTCGACCGGAAGCCGCCGGCGTCCGACGTCGGAGTCGCGCGTGAGGCCGAGGGAGTTGCGATGAACATGCCCTTTCAAGAGTAGGCGCCTGGTCGGGAGCAGGTAGGTCGTGAAAACGATGACGCTCGCAACGGCCTCTCGGACTTGGCCCGCCCCGATCATTGTGCTGGGAGCGCGGGCAGAGACCTACCCGCAGGCGCGGCAAGCGGTTCTGGGCCAGCACCGTGTGCTTCGATCCTGTCAAGGCTCGGGTGCTGCGCAGGAGCTCGAACACAGCGCCCAGTAGGAAGGTCCAATAGTAGCGAAGCCCTGCCATCAGCTTCGTCGGAACGTAGGCGAGCTCGCCCGCGAAGAAGTTCTCGTACCTGTACGTTATCAAGGCAGAGTCTATCGGTGGAGCTGACGTCGTGAGCTCCTTCAAGCCCAGGGCCAAACCGCGGGTCAGACACGACGGGCGGAAGGCGCTCACATACGCGTGGCAGTCGCGGGCGGCCTCCGCGGTGATGCTCTGAAGCTCGAGGAACGACGGTTGCTCGGCAGTCGGCGAGGCGACAGCGGCGAGCGAGGGCGCTCTGCCCCGCTGAGCCGCATTCTCCTCCGCGGCGCCGGGGCCGTGGAGCGCCCGCTCGCGGCGCGGCCTCGACCTGGCTGGTGCTGCCAAGTCTGGCGTCGCCGTGGAGCGCCTGGGGGTGCCCGCTCGAGCCCCCTGGGGGCGCGCCGCCGGCGCCGGGGTCGCAGCCGCGCCCGTGGCCGCAGAAGCCATCGCGGAGGACGCCGAGGCCGTCTGGGCCGAGTGCCGCGACTGGGTTCGGTGCAGCATTGAAGCGAAAAGTGCCAACCCGACCGCGAAAGGCGGCGTCGGCTGCATTGGGCTCGGACGGGGCCCATCTCCAACCGACGTAAAAATTCAATCCAACAAGGAGGGCTGCGATTTGGTGTCAACGCAGAAGCAAGCCAGGGCTCGGTGATCGCCCCTTCGTACTGCAAGAATAAGCGCCATGCTGTCATTCAGGATCAGGTGCTTGCGACCGAAATTCGAGACGTTCCGAACGATGTGTTTCACCGTGAGCACCAGAGCCCGGGCCTCCAAGGCGACCTGGGCCTCCGAGCGGGACCACTTCTTGGACGTCACGAGGGACCAGTCGCTGCCGCGCATGGACTCGGGGACCTCGGGAAACGGGCCCTCGGGACCTCGGAGTCCCAAGGAGTGGCGGTGACGCCGCCGCTGACCGAGCACTTCAAGGCGGAATCCCGTGGCTTGACGAGGGCCTCGTGGGCCGCCAGGCACCGCGTGCGCTCCGAGTAGTGGCCCACCTCCTGAACGTCCTCCTGGGCACGAGGCCCCCTCGCCACACCTGCGCCCCGCCATGATGCATCCGCGCAGTAGACCCTCGGGGCCCAGGCGGCGTCGACGTCGCGGAAAGCGAGGGTGGCGAGGGCGGCCACCAACGAAGTTCCCGTCTCACAGACTTCCGCAATGGACGAGAGAGGTGACCAGCGCTCTCGATGAAGGCGCATGAGGCCTGCAGGCATGATGGCAACCCGCGGCGCAGCACTGCGCGGGACGAGAAATGCGACGCGGCGGCCCGAACAAGATCCCCAGAGGCGTGGCTCATGTTCGCCACCGCCACACACCCCATTCGGACGCGCCAGCCTACGCTGTGACTGATCCCGACAATCGGCACGTTGGAGTCGAAGGTCCAACCGAGAACACCCCCGCCGGCTGACGCCGTCGCGCCGTGAGCACGCAGCCCAGCCTCATGGAGGCTGCGGTCAACCGGCTCAGTCACTGCTAGGGTCGGACCCTCGGACAGACCCAGAGCCACGAAATTGTCGACGTACTTCGCGTGTGACACCTGGGAGGAAAACCGCGCCAGGCGGACGGGGAGACGAGCATCATCGGAAGCCAATCTAGGAGAGGCAAGAGTATTCAAGAGGGCGAGGTATTCCATAATTCTATGGCAAATCCAAAGGCTATGCTTCCAACCCATGGGAGCGGCGGTAAAGCGAGGGGCAACACAGTCGCTGGGCCGCAGCGGGCCACCATCATTGTCGGCTGATACTCCCTAGACACCCTCTCTGATCCGAGGAAGCCCGAAGTGCAGCCAAGAATCCCGAGGTAGCTGAATGCCATAGAACGCGTTCTCTCTATCTGTCTCCCCACTGTAGATAGGCCCCCCGCTGTCGACCTCCAAAGCTGAGAAATCTGAGCCCGTTGCAAGGTCAACGTGCGGGGTGTCGCCGACATGCCCCCCTGCCGCCCGGCCGTCCAAGATGAGACGCATGTCGCCGTTCTTTTTCGCCGCGAAGAAGACGCCCGCGCGAGCGATGGAGTCGCCTCCGCGCAACCAGGCTGGACCCAAGAAGCTGATGCAGACATCGGTCATGCAGTCTAGGATGAGAACGAAGGTAGGGATCGTTGTAGATTCTGGGAGGTTTGGATCAGGACGTCGAAGCGCGTTGAGCTCGTCAGCCATGGCGGAGCCGATCGCACCGCCCAATTGCAAAAGTCGCGTTGGCGACAAGCCGCGAGGAGGAAGAGCGGCGCGATACATACTGGCCTCGCAGAGGGGGGCATTCAGCTACCAACTGTGGAGTCACCAGGGTTAATGCGGAGCTCTCGTAAGGCCACTGCAGAGGCAAGATCTTCAGGGGGCCATCCAAAACGTTCGACAGCACCTCTGACATGAGTAAGATAGCCCCCCTGGGCCATGGATGCCGCATGATCCACCCGAGAAGCACCGGCCCCATGCATGTCATTCAAGACTGTCGCAACATCCGAGGCCGAAGAAGCAGCCCGGCGTGTGGACTCAAGTCTCCTACGAACTTTGCGAGAGACGGAGGTCCTGATGGGGGTCAGGAGAGGCCGGCGCGGCTCGATGGCAGGCTCGCGC